GCACATAGGTCTATTTCCCCAACCTCATATATGAGGTTCTACATTTTTAGAAGGAAGGTTGGCATGTCTTTCTCCTGTGGAGCAGTGGATGACTTTGAACTACCATGCTTTGGGCTAGCAGCCAGCTACTTAACCACTGGGTCACCAGGGCACCTAAGAAGTGGAGAAGAATGAAATTTACTATAGTTCAAAGCAAACAGTGTTATAAGAATGATAGAATGGATCACACACACCTGCTACCACTCTGTTCTAGTCCCTGAAAATTATGAACAAGTTATAGCATCGTTTGGCTGCCTATAACAGCAGCTAAACCTATATCAACTAACTGCTAGCTGCTAAACCATTACTAGGCAACATTCTCAATAAATAGCAATTATTTCTCTATTCCAGGGCTCAAGGGCCTTAATTACGAACCATCTTCTAAATATAGAAATATCTCTCGTTAACACTAGTTCATTTGGCTCTGATTTTAGGCCTTTTGGATTCTAGATTCCAGGAATCATGGTGGTGCAGTGGATTACATGTTGGGCTGCTAACGTCATGGCCAGCAGTTCAAAACCACCAAGCCCTCCTTGGGAGAAAGATGAGGCTTTCTATTCCTGTAAAGATTTATAGTCTCGAAAACTCAAAGGGGCACTTCTATCCTGTCCTGTAGTGTTCCTATGAGTCAGGATTTACTCAGTGTCGGTGAGCTTGGTTTTATGTAGATTCCAGAAAAGGGGTTCAGAGGGTGCTGGGGGCTAGGAGTTGGGCTGCTAACATCAAGATTGAAAGTTCAAACCCACCAGCCACTCCTCAGGAGAAAGGTGAGGCCTCCTGCTCTGGTAAAGATAAACTGGCTTGAAAATCATATATAGAGTCAATTTGAGTTGGAATCGACCTGAGGATGGCAGTGGATTCGTTTTTTTCAATGTAGATTCTAGGTAGCGTGTTTGTTTATTGGGAAACTGGATTTTACTTTTAACATGTAGCAACCATGAGAATTTGTGGTTAGAGTTGTAACCCAAACCCTCATGATTTCCTTCTAATAACGTAGCAACCTGCCATAACGCTTCTTACTTTAAAAATGAGCCACCGCTCCTGTCAGTGCTTTTGACAGGTATGTCTAAGAACTAGCTGATAAAGGGAATTGAGTGACCCACTGTTTAACAAGAAGATGGTAAGGTCAGAATTGGAATTGTGAGCAAGTTTATTAGTCTCTGCACTTTAACTTGCCGGGCTTGCTGCAAAGCACTGAACTTTATGTCTAGCTCAACAATATAATTTCTGCTACTTTTTTTTTTTTTAGGTTTATGCTTTACTAAACACCTTAATGCGTGTGGTTAATTATAGAGTGAACATTTGCTGCACATATCAGGTTGCTGAATAGATTTTTGAAGGCGCATATCAAGATTAAGTCATGCCAAAGAAAGAGCACAGTTTTAAGTACCTTGATATAAATTTTTCCTAAAGATGCATCACAAGCTATGCCGATGATTACAGACTGTGCTTGGTGCTCTTCCTGCGAATGCTTTTCAAGTGTTGGTTCTCTGGTTACTTCCCTTCCTCATCCTCTTTCTTGGGGTGGAGCATCTCCCCATGAATGTTTCCAAGGCCCAGCCCTAGCGTGAGTGGAAGTCAGTGTCCTGATGCATTTTCCTTTTGTACCTTTGAGTTTGATTTTCTATTACAGAGCTAGCGTCTGACACCATGTTATGGGAATGTTTCGTGTGCCTAGATTATCTTTTTATATTTCTCTCTGGGCTTACATCATGATGATTGTGTTTTACTCTTTTGCAGGAATTTTAAACGGTTGTCAAGTGAGGTGGAATTTATGACAATTAATGGAGCAACATTACAGAATCTGGAAATCCTGCAGAATCAGGTCAGGCAAACCAAAGTGCTAGTTTTTTCAACTTGTTTCTGAAAATAATGGAGGGAGGTAGTAGTTCCTTCTTTAGTGTTGATGAAAATAACGATGCCCGTTGTCTTCAGCTGATGCTCTGCCTGCCGTCTCTTTTGTACTTGATAACAGTGTCTGGAGAGCTTTGTAGACTCCAACAGGCGGAAAGACTCCTTTGCGAGCTGTAGAGCTGCCTTTCTGACAGTTTCTATATCACCCAAGGAAGGACTGCAGGACAGGAAACTGGGGTTTCAATACCTGTTTCTCTAGAAAGACATCATCTCCGAGAATTAAAATGCAGTGAGGTTTTTGGTTTTTGGTCTGTTTGATTAATTTTGGATTATAATGGCTCCAGCAAACCTTTGACTAGTTGAAATAGTCTACAGTCTTGTTTCAAGATCCAGCATGTAAAATAAGTTACCATGATACACAATTTATGACTTAAAATGCTTGGTGCTTCACTTCCCTGACTTTTATCATCATTTATCTGATCTTTATTGGTGAATTTAGAAGATCATGGAGATATGAAAAAGTAATGCTTTTGTGGATTAAATTACCCCTTGCCAATGTGAAATACATTGTAAAATTAATGTAATATAAAGCCATAGGAATAAAAAACAGTTCTGAATCATTTGATTAAGTCATCATTTGAGCTCCATAAAATTGAAAGTGTTACAGCTCTCCAGACATCTGTTACTGCCATGGATTAAAGCCAGTGCCGAATGTAGCCCCCTGACTTCTAGATCTATTGATCAGTAACTGCTTTTCCTCACTTCCTGTCTTTCTCTTCCAGTTCACCCTTGTAGACTTCAGTGAGACTTACACTCATTCAGTTAACAATTGTGTGCCGTCATTCCTTCACCCAGATACTGAGAATCTTTCCTGCAGGTCTCTCTCATCAAGGCTGTGCACATTCCTGGGGTAGGAAACAGATAGTGGAGCTACATGAAGAAGAGCTCACTGTCAGAATTGAAAAGCACAGCCCTGCCCTTGTAGACTTTCAGGACATTCCTCCCTGTTCAAATCTTATTATAGTAGAGTCACTGTAAATACATGAGAATTTCTAAGGCAGAATCACCTACCATCAAAATACCCCTTGAAATTCCTTCCATCATCAGGAATTGGACTCTTGCAAAAGCCAGGGCTTCAAACTGGTTCATTCCTGCTTGGCTCTCTGTTATGAAAATGCCTTGCCACTCCATAAATCCTGAATCAGAATCTCTGTGTTAACAAGATCCCCAGACAATTCTTCTACATGAGGATGTTCAGGTGATTCATACATACATGTAGTCCAGGAGCCAGGGTATCAAGGGTGGACATATAAATTCTCAGCAGTAAAGTTGAACTAGAATGAACTGATTGGAAGCCTTGGTAGAAACCTAAGCTGGGAATTAGCATCATCTGTTTGTCTTTGCACCTTGGCATTGGCCTCCCTTTCTGTGAAGCAATGGACAAGATTGATGGGGAGGGACATGGGTTCCAGGGAAAGTAAAGCTGTATCAGGACATGGCATGGATGTGAGCACATGAGTTACCAGCACCTCTCTCCCTTCTCTTGTCAGAGCTTGCTTCTCTAATGATGGCAGATGGTTGAGAAATGATTTCATCTCCCCCAGTCTCTTTCCCCCAGGAACCCTCGTGCAGCAGTAGCCAGGCACTGGACTGCTAACCTGAACCCACCAGTTGCTCCCCAGGGAAAAGAGATGGCTGTCTGCTTCCATAAAGATTTATAGCCAGGGCAACTCCATGGCCCAGTTCTATTCTAATCTATAACATCGGTGTGAGTTAGAATTGCCTACATCAGCGGTTCTCAACCCATGGATCGAATGACCCTTTCACAGGGCTCTCCTGATTCATAACAGTAGCAAAATTACAGTTATGATGTAGCCATGAAAATAATGTTATGGTTGGGAGTCACCACAACATGAGGAACTGTATTAAAGGGTCATGGCATTAGGAAGCTTGAGAACCACTGTCGTATATGGTACTGGATTTGGTTTTGCTTGGAGCCCTTTGCTCCATCAGGCCAATTGGGTGTTTGCCCCAAGCACACATGGTGCCACTGCTGGTTGTCTGCTGTCATCAATTGCTTCTGTCTGTGTATCCTCACAGGAACTTCTGTGACCAGATTAGCTTCTGTGTGTGCTCTGCTTTGAGCTCTGGCAGCTTCTGCCACCTGTTTGATAGCTGATTCCTTCCAGCTGGTGTTTCCTTCTGATTATGAGTTTTTTTATCACAAGCGTGAATGTCCCCTAAGACCAAGGACTTATCTTTCTTAAATCATTTTTTCGGGGGCTTGTACAGCTCTTATCACAATCCATACAGCCATCCATTTTGTCAAGCGCATTTGTACATGTTGCCATCATCATTTTCAAAACATTTTCTTTCTACTTGAGCCCTTGGTATCAGCTCACTTCCACCTCCCCCTCCCCCCCACGAGCCCTTAATGTTTTATAAATTATGATCATTTTTCATGTCTTACACTGACCGATGTCTGCCTTCACCTACTTTTCTGTTGTCCGTCCTTCTGGGAGTGGGTTTTAGGTAGATCTTTGTGCTCAGTTCCTCCTTTCTCCCCCACCTTCCCCTTCCCCTCCTGGTATTGCTACTCTCATGATTGGTCCTGAGGGGTTTATCTGTCCGGGATTCCCTGTGTTTCCAGCTCTTATCTGTACCTGTGTACATGCTCTGGTCTAGCCGGATTTGTCAGGTAGAATTGGGGTCATGATAGTGGGTGGTGGTGGTGGTGAAGAAGCATTAAAGAGCAGAGGAAAGTTGTATGTTTCCTCGGTCCTTTCCTGCACCATGACTGGCTTGTCTCTTCCTTGTGGCCCTTCTGACAGGGGACGTCCAGTTATCTACAGATGGGCTTTGGGTCTCCACTCCATACTCCCCCTCATTCACATGGATATGATTTTTTTTCCTGGGTTTTTGATGCCTGATACCTGATCCCATTGGCACCTCATGATCACACAAGCTGGGGTGCTTCGTACATGTGGGCTTTGTTGCTTCTCAGCTAGATGGCTGCTTGTTTATTTTCAAGCCTTTAAGACCCCAGGCGCTATATCTTTTGATAGCTAGGCACCATCAGCTTTCTTCACCTCATTTGTTTATGCACCCTTTTGTTTTCAACAATCTTGTCAGGAAGGTGAACATCACGGAATGACGGGTTATTAGAACAAAGTGTTCTTGTGTTGAGGGAGTACTCGAGCAGAGGTCCAATGAAGGAGTATATCTTAACATACCTTTGCCCATCACAGTACTATGCGCATAGAGGGTTTCTGTAAGTACCTGCTCATTTATTTGAGGGAAAGAAAGTACAAAACAATCCCAACATGGATGGAAACAGCTATTTTGTGTTTCAAAATAAGATTTAAGGCTATCACTAGACGTTCTGTAATAAAAAGCATCCACCCAATGCCATCTAGTCAATTGCAGCTCACAATGACCCCGAGGACACGGTAGAACTGCTGATATTGTAGATCTCTATGGAAGCAGCCAGCCTGCTCTTTCTCCTGGGGAGTGACTGGTGGGTTTGAATCACCAATCTTGAGGTCAGCAGCCCAGTATTTATCCCATAGTGCCACCAGGTCTCCTTAATATAAGGAACGTTTGAGTAAAATAAACATTTCTACTTAATTATAATTAAAAAAAAATAGTTCATAAGCATAGTTAAGTAACTTTTACTAGGCATTTAATAATAATCTAAAATGAAATGCTTCCAGGGTACATTTCTTGAGCTCCATGTGGTTCACCTTTATCTCAGTACCTCTCGCAGCTTCAGTCTTTAAAATGATAGCTCTGAGATTTGGAAAGATTAAATTATCTTGAATTACCACAGAAAGATTAAATTATCTTTATCACAGTGTACTTCTCAGCACAGGAAAATATACAATCACACATTTTCATGATGCTGAGAACAAGGTTTCTGAATAATTTATTCTTTGTTAACGGAACTCTTCACAGGCTCCTTCTTTTCTGTGTTTTGTGTAAATTTGTATTCATTCATTCCTTATAGATTAATTGAACAATTCTTATCAGCCACAGTGTATTCTAGATATTTTTAATACATTTAAATTTGGGTATATGGAATAATCAGGATACATGGACAAGTAAATATTTGGGTACAAATTAATGAAACTTATTTTCTGATCTTTCTAGACTAATAAGAAAACTCATGGAAGTTTATTTTGGGTTTTAGACCATACAAAAACATCATTTGGGAGGCGCAAATTGAAGAAATGGGTGACCCAGCCACTCCTTAAATTAAGGTAAAATAATTACTTTTTCCCCCCTTTTAAAATTAGTTTTGTCTGTGTGTGTGAAAATACACATAGCCAGGCACAGTTTTAACCATTTTTCCATGTAGAACTCATTGACATTGATTATATTCTTCAAGTTGTACACAAATTCTCACCATCCTTCTTCAGAATGTTTCATCACCTTTGACTTAGCTCACTGCTCCATCAATGTCCCATGTAACCTTCCTAGTTGTCAATTTGATTTCACTTAGATAATCTTTTACATGAGCACAATGCTCCTGGTAGACATCATTATTATGGTAAGCTATTGCTTGGTTCAAGGAAACCTTCAGGGGGATTGCTTTGGTTTAAAGTTTAAAGATTATCTCTGGGGCATAGTTTTGGTGGTTCATCTAACTTCAGAGGCTCCTGAAAAATCTGATTTTCACTGATTGTTTAAGTTTTTTTTCTTTCTGTATTCCTCCCCATATTGATAAGAATTCTTCTGTAGAATCTTGATTCACAATGAACAGTACTGGTGGTTGGGCACCATCGACTTCTTTTGGTCTCATGACAAAGGACACAGTTGTCCCTGGAAGTAACCAAACAGTAATCTATGTCCTTCTTCCAATTCCAGACTCTCTATTTTCTTCTTTGGCCTCAAAGTAAATGGAAATCTCTTGTACCATGGGTGACCTGCTAGCTTTTAAGATCCCTGGCACTACCATACAGATCAGGAGGTCAACAGAAGCACTAGGAGACTGTATTAGACCAGTTGATGGGGATCCCTTAAAACTATGGCCTGACCCTCCACACCAAGAAAACAAATCCTATGAGATGCTTGCTTATGTCTAGGTGATCTCAGTGACGTCAAAATCTGCTTTCTTTTGTTGTAAAAATATACTGGGGTGGGGGGGGGGTGGCCTTCAAAAAGTCCACAGAAATATTCCACTATCTTTACATTCCAGTTTTCTGCAAACTTTTGGAAACCCCCTTGCATACCACATTTGGAAATGCAACTTTTTTTCAGGTATACTGTCTATTGATGTCAGTTCCATCAATCAGTTGTACAGCCGTTGCTCTTAATCAATGTCACGTGAAAATGAATTACAGTTTGTGTATTTAATCTGCAAATTATATTTCAGCTCACAATTGTAAAATTAAAGGTAGGCCAGCCTCCTAAGCACTTATATCCCTCAAGGTATCCATGATTTATTGAGACACAGGTTTAAGTTGGGGGAAATTTCACGATGTATTGGAGGATACCACGGCTAGAGTTCTGAGAGTTTTTCCCTTTTCCCAAGAATGAGCCTGATTGCAGCAGACATAGAATGTATTTCAGAAAATGAATTATTCTTTTAGTTGGTCGTCATTTGCATAAGCGAGCACCTGGGGAAATCTTTAAATTGTGTTTCAACTTTCAGAGGATTTTTTTCATCTCTCCTACCTTTTGTTCTACACAATGACTCTCTGGTGCAAAATCATGAGTGACTTTTTGGATAGTACAAATGATGTCTACCCAATACTTATTTGCTGGTTTGGTGACCTCATGTAGCTGAGATTAACCTTTGCTTTCCTAAAACCATATTGCCCTAAATAAATAGAGTGTGCTTTGCTGTGTGTTGCTGTGGCTGTGAGATGCCATGATTAGGTTCTAACCCACAGCGACCATGCATACATTAGAATGAAGTAGTGCTTGTTCTTGCAGCCCCGTCATCTCTCTTGCTTTGTGTGATGCCAGTGTTGAAGCTACTGTGTCAGTTCAGCTCACTGAAGGTCTTCTCTTTGATGACCCGCAAACGTTTCTCTAGGACTTGTCTAGAGAACCTAAGATAGTCTCGCCATTCTCACCTCTGAGGAGCATTCTGGCTGTTATTTCTTCTAAGACAGATCTGTTTATTTTGTTGGAAGTCCATGGTATATTTGAACATCTTTACCAACACCGAGTGCATCAGTTATTCTTCAATCGTCTTTATTATACATTCTGCTAACTGTAGGAAAGAAGACACTTTAATTTGTAACTCGGGGGCTTCTTTTTATCAGTTGATGTTACATTGCTAAGCCATTGCTCCTCTTACTGCCATCAAGTTGATGCCGACTCATAGTGACCCATCTGTGGGTTTCTGAGACTGTAACTTTTTATGGGAGTAGAAAACCCCGTCTTTCTCCTGAGGAGTGGCTGGGGGTTTCAAACTGCTGACCTTGCAGATTGCAGTCCAGTGACTGCAGTCACCACCAGGGCTCTTGGTAATCCATTGTTCCTAAGGCCCTTTAAAATTAAATAAATTATATTGAATTCAATTTTTGATTTTTCCCATTCTTCTTTAAGTTGTTATAGTCTTGTCAATATTTTATGTAGACACCATAAGTACTTACTGGCTTTGAAAAAAGTCCAACAATGTAGAATCAGCTTGTAAATATTGAGAGGAAAAGAAATAAAAAATATTGTATATTAAAGAATATTTAACAACAAGAAATGGTGGGTTTCCATCATTTGTACTTCTTTTATTGTGTTTAACTTAAATGTTAATATCACCCAGGCTTCTTTCCTTTGGGCTTCTGTTACTTTCGACATGACTTAGAACCTCGTCTGTGGCCATGGCTTCTCTTTTTCATCATTATCTTCAGCAGCTCCAGGCCTACACCTGCTAGCTGTCTCTGCTTTAGGAACGGTTTCCATTTGAATACATAAAACAGAGTAGGATCAAAGAATTCCCTTCATTGAGATAGTGATTTCTTAGACTAAAACTGTTTGTATGAGTCACCATGAAACAACAGACTATGAACTATAAAGTCTGAGAAATCAGTTTTTCTTCTCCTTCTAATGTAGTGGTTCTCAACCTTCCTAATGCCGTGACCCTTTAATACAGTTCCTCATGTTGTGGTGACCCCAACCGTAAAATTATTTTTGTTGCTACTTCATAACTATAATTTTGCTACTGTTATGGATTGGGCAACCCCTGTGAAAGGGTCACAACCCACAGATCGCAACCCCAAAGGGGTCACAACCCACAGATTGAGAACCACTGTTCTAGCGGGTAAATTATTTTGGTTAACAATGAAGACATTGACCTCTGTTCTTGCCGTTTGGTGAAATCAGTCAGTTAAAGGTTTGCTATTTACTGAAGGAAGAAGTTCAAGCTGCACTGAAATCATTAGCCAAAAAAAAGCAAGGCTCCAGGAATTGATGGAATACCAATCAAAATGTTTTAACAAGCTGATGAAGCACTGGAAGCATTTACTAATCTATGCCAGCAAATTTGGAAGACAGCCGCATGGCCAACTGACTGGAAGACATCTATATTTCTGCCCATTTCAAAGAAATGTGGCTCAACAGAATGCTCAATTACAGAATAACATCATTAATATCACATACAAATAAAATTTTGCTGAAGATCATCCAACAATGGTTGCAGCAGTACATTGACAGGGAACTACCAGAGGTTCAGGCTGGATTCAGAAGAGGATGTGGAACAAGGGATATCATTGCTGATGTCAGATGGATCTGGGCCTAAAGCCAGAATACCATAAAGATGTTTCCTTGTGTTTTATTGACTATGCCAAGACATTCAACTGTGTGCCTCATAACAAACTTGATAGCCCTGAGAAGAATGAGATAAGTATCACACTACCAAGTAAAGAGAAATGCAAGAGCGTGAAGTACGTGAGCACAGAGCAACAGCACAGTATCAGAAGGGTCATCGCCGTTGTTGTTAGGTGCTGTTGAGTCCGTTCCGACCCACAGCAACCCTTTGTCCAACAGAAGAAAGCACTGCCTGGTCCTGAGCCATCCTCACTCCACCGTCTGCTGCTTGAGCCCAGAAGGCTTAATCTTAAAAAGAACCTTGAACAACTTTTAGAATCAGTGCAGGTGCCAATAAAGAATTAGACTTACTAAAATGTGTATCTGAAGAAATCACCTAAAATGTAGTACAAAGAGGTAATGTGACCCAAGATATGAGATTGAAAGACAAATATATGGTTAACGTGGTCAGACATAATTCTCATCAGATTTTCAGAAGAAAATTAGAATGGGAAGAAACAGAGACTTTATTAAAGGACAGGACTTTTCATAATTCACAAAAAATGTGAACACTGAGATTTTGAAAGCATACTTAAAAGCCAACAGAAATCCACCTTTGGCTAAATCATAGTAAAACTACAATATGTTGAATTAGATATAAAAGTCTTACAAATAGCCAGAGAACAAGAAAGAAGAACACTTGTCAAAATAATGAAAGTTACATAACTTAATTGTTGCTTTCTAAATTCCCCACCTGTTCTGTATTTGTTTTCCTTCCTTTTGTGACCTATTTTGGGTTGTGTGTGTGTGTGATATCATTTTGTGTTCTTCTGGTGTGTCTGTTTCAGTTCGTTCTTGCTCCTCTGGTTTATTTTTGTGCTTGGTTATCTCTGTGTACTGTTCATACTACTTGGGAATTTGCAGAATGATGTGGAGCCTAGGATGAAGATATTTTTTTCAGAGATGGGTTTTGTGAGCTTCTACCAGATCAGAATGACCTTAATTTACATTCAGTGCTTGAGGATTTTGTTTTCTCCCTTCTTTCCCATCCAAATGAGGCTAACCAAGACTGCAAGTTTTCTGCTATGTTTTTTGCAGCAGTTTCTAACTGGTACATTGTCTCAGGGTAAAATGGTCTTACAGCTGGATTAATTTCATGGTTCTTGGCTATTTTGGGGTTTTGGTATTTTCATTACATACTGTTTTGTTAGTCCCTTGATGCTTTCAGGACCATGATTATATGTTTCTTCTGATTTTTAAATTGTTATCAGTAGGAGGGGTGATCTGAAAGTACCTCTTCCCACCATCACAGAAACAGAAATTTTGCTCATGTTTTATTTTCAAAGATGCAAGTGTCTGGCCTAGTCATGGATGGTAGCTTAAAAAAATTATTCCTTTTACTATTCTAAACAGAGTGAATTATGGTTTATTTGACAAACGTTGCTTCCTTAGAAGAGGAGGGTTAAATTCTTAAAACCTGTTGGATTATTTAAAATTCATAATAATG